ATTATTATGTTAATCCAAAACGCACATTTAAACATTGCAATGTTGACTTCACATGGGGTAAAATGTGCCCCAAGCTATACACAGAACTTGGAGGAAGATGCGACTTGGTCAAGGGAACATTTGATTGCCCAGATATTCGTAAATATGCGCGATTCACTCCTCGGCAGGCACAACTCGTTCAGACACGAATGTTACGCATCTTCGACCTCCTCGCTCGGAAGTACAAAATCAACTACTGGATTGCCCGTGGGACTCTTCTCGGGGCTGCGAGACATCATGGATTTATCCCATGGGATGGGGATGCTGATATTGAAATGCCTTTAGACGACTACGTGAAATTTTTCCAGGTAGCAGCGAGGGAGCTACCGGACGACATTTTCTTTCAAAACAGCATTAGTGATCCCGCGTTGAAACCGAATGATGCGAGCGGTTTCGACAACCATGAAATAGTTGGTATATATGAAGTGACGTGGAACCCAAGACTTAGAGATAGAAACAGTTGTTATAAATATTGTATCGCTTACGGCTGCAAATGGCACGACGGTCTGATGGTCGACATGTTTATTGTACCTAATGTGGAAAAATCCGCGATGTACCCCTTGAAGCAAATGGAATTCGAAGGGTTCCCGTTAAATGTCCAGAACAATTGGAAACAGGTCTTAGTGTCCCTATACGGGGAAAATTGGTCTGAATTTCCAACGGATCAATCACCAGAAGAGAATCCAGATGTATTTCACGGTTGCGAGAAACTAAGAAAGTATTCCTCTCTGAAGAGGATTTTGACTCGCAAGTGGCATACCTAAACAATTGGAGACCATTAAAGACATTAAACGGAGCGAATGCATAACAGTTTGTCCTTTAATTTATATTTTACACCGTAGAAGAATGCGGTATATTTAAAATCAAAACTACAATGTACGGACCTTCTGTAGTGACTTTTTATCGCCTTCCGAACGCATGATTCGGAACAGCTCTCTTTAGCTAATTACGTTGCTAAATTGAGCACAGGATAAACATGACTCCGATTACATCTTTTGTGTTGTCTTTTGGAAAATTTGATGAAAGTAAGCACGTGGCAAAACATGCCTTTTTTTTTTCAAAATTTGGAAAAATGAGTATAGTATAGTATACTGTTGAGTATCCTGAGAAACAGACTTTTTACAGCTAGAGCGCGCCTTACACTAGCTCTGACAAGCTGACTACGCGTTTGATGGGTGTGTTTTTGAGCATGTTCAAATTTTGAAGAGGTTTTAGACGGATTTATACTATAGCGGATTTACACTAAAGCGGAGCCAGCACGTAGCAATGCAACGCAAATATCAGTAAAAAGTTTCTGAAAAGATCAGAACAACGTAACGAATTTCCTAGGTAACCACGATCGAGCATGTCTTTCTTGTGTGTTTGTTACTTTGCAACGGTCATGTTCGCACGTATTTTTCGTTTTTTTTTTTTTTTCTTGTCCTTTTTTTCTTTCATTATTGTGTTGTGAAATGTTTAAGCAAGCAAACGCGAACGATGGTCCTGCTGGTATACGTTGGATCAGTAGTGATTCAATCGGCTTGTCATAATTAAAAAAAAAAGAAGAATATTAAAGAAGAGATCGATTTCATACGCGTTTTATCAAAATTCTAATAATTTTCCTCCCCTTTTTATTTCACGAGTATGCCATTTAACAACCTATTAATATCATGAGTGACAAATTACGCTTACAATCCTAGGTTTTTGACTTGTTATATTGTATCGAAAACTTAAGTGCCAAACATTGCATGGCAATTTTGTAACTTCACAAGCGAACTTATAAATTAACGCTGAAATTTCGCACCAGATGAAGGAGTAATTTGTTGTCCACGATATTTTGAGAAAACTTAGTCAAAGAGTTGTCTATCTCTCTATCAAGGTCGGCACATCTAAATGAATATGAAGGTCTGTCAGGGGTTTAATTTTGAAACAGCTTTTTTTACATCGAAATTCTGTGACAATTTCTGTTTGACGGCATAAATAATCCTTTTGAAATCATTTTCTCACTGGGATTTGGGTCATTGGGGACCGGAATAATGACATCGCATTTGGGCAAATTGGGATTTACCGAGCATTCCCGGACACCTACCGACTACGACACGAACCCTTCCGATATTCTTGACGGAAGACTCAGGAAACGATTGCACAACGAGGACGCATTTTTTCGTCATATGTCACCGCTGTCAATGAGGATAGCAGATTCAGGTCAGTTGACGCCATCTTGTTCTGCGACGAGAACGTGGGAGAAGTAAAGGAAAAAAAACTTTAGACCAAGTTCATAATGCCGAAGAACAAAGGTTTGAAGCGAAATGAATTATTTTGTTCTTGATTATTAGGTATAAACCGATCTTCGTTTCATATTTCGTCAGGAAAGGGAGGAAAAAATCGACGAAGGGGAAAGAACGAGAATGAGTCGGAGAAACGAGAACTCGTGTTCAAAGAAGACGGACAAGGTTTTTACCATTTTATTTTATTCCTTTCACAATCTCGTAATCGTTACAATTCTGACTGTTCTATATGTTCGATTTCTCTGAAAAGAATATGCTCAAGTCACCAAGATGTTAGGAAACGGAAGAGTCGAAGCAATGTGTTTCGACGGCGCCAAGCGACTTTGTCATATTCGCGGAAAACTTCGGAAAAAGGTATTTCATTATGCCGAATTGTTCCTCATGACTCATAACTAAGTGTTCACTCCGTGCCTGAGACATTGTTTCGAATTATTATTTTCATATCAGTTCACAAATTAAAATTTTCATTTTGCTTAACTAGCATCAGCTTACATCCTTGTGTTGCGCTGATTATTTTAAATGTCTTTGAATGTCTAAATTATCAGACTTTCATTCATGACTTTTTCTCATGTGAAGAATTGTTGACCCTGACTCCAGTTGATAGTATTAATACCATCAATGAAAGGATATATAATAATCATCTAGCAGATATGTAAGCTTCTTTATGTATATATCAATACATGTATACAAAATACAAATTGGTCATACCTAAAAAAATTACTAAACAATTCTTAGACAGCAAACTTAAGGTCTCTGTGCCTGAAAAATGGTGATAGAAAAAATCCACCGAGTGAACTGTTTAAGTTGAAATCAAGTCAATAGAATATTATTAAAACTGACTTTGTTGGGTTTTTAACTCTTTGGCTTAATCAATGGGTTATGCTTTCAAAGGTGATGAACTTGAAAAACAAAGTGCATTCTGACTTCACTCACACAAGACATTCAATGTGAAAAGTTTACTGAGGATGCGTCAGTCAGCCATCATATTCAATGTATCCTAATGTTTACCTCACAAATTTAACTAATGGTTCCAAGAATTAGAACCCATACTACGCCAGATATGAAAAACCATTTAAAAAACCACCCTTCATATGTGGCCAAAAAATATGTGGAAACATATTCCTCATCTAATGCAGCAGCATGAGACCCTGAGGAAAGGGTATTCTACAATTATTTTCACAAATGATCAAATCGAAACATGGTCATAAAAAATAAAGTAGGCAAACACTACGACTGACCGACATAGAATGACGTAAATCTCCCGCCAGAAGCCTTAAATAGTCCCTAAGCATCCCGTGATGTACTGCGAGTCTCTCCAATGTGCCGTCAGAATAATAATTTCTGACTAATTCATCCCTCAGTCGTCAGAAATTACATTTCTTAAAACTTGGTCCACTGGGTGATTGTGTTGAGAATGCCACAGAAATGCCATAAAAAGCAGGAGTCACCATGCTCTTTTTTACGTATTACAGATGGCTGTTTCAGTAACTATGCGACCTGCAAGGTTTTTATTGGGATCCCTTGTAGTCAAAAGGGAAAGTACAATTTCTGAAACAGTCATTCCTTGCATTGAAGTGATAGTTCGTGGCTTGGTACATGTGTGTAATGACCAGCCATGAGTGAATCCAACACACACCAGTTTGTTCAATAAAGAGCAAATACATCACATGATCATGAGAAATGCCAATCACAACAATGTACAAACTATTGTATGTCTGTACATAAAGTATGCATTCCACTGTTTTCTGGGGGCAATATCCTACCCTAAAGATCTCAGTGCATTCAACTTCTCTAAATAACTGAAATTTTATTTACTGTCTGAAGAACATTCTGAAAACTTGTATTGATTCTCTGCATTCTGTTATACATGCACACATCTCTTCTCTTAAGAATTCTCTATTCTCTCAATATCCATAGAAACCTTTCAGTGACTGGAGACTGACTATAGAACTTTTGGGCTACTTCAGTCTCCAGATTCAAATGTACATTATTTTTCTGTCTTGCTATTTATATAATTTTTTATATATATTTTTGTAAAAATGTATGAGTGAATAAAGTTGTTGTTGTTGTTGATATGTTTGTTGCTTTATTATTGAACAGGTCTGGATTAACCTTGGTGATATTATTCTGCTGGGACTTCGTGACTACCAGGTGCAGTACCCTTAATCTGTCAAAAGTTATTTATGTGATAAGCATTGGCTTGAATTTTCTTCTTTATGGTTGTGCCCATGAAATAAATTGTACAGTTTTTGCTTCCAGAATAAAATGTACACTGTAGCCTTTACCCAGAATTTGTCTTTTTTCTGCAAAGTGTTTTTGCACCATTTGAAGGGTAACCAGCGATTTAGCCCTGAAGTCAATTAGCCCCTAACTGTTTAACCCCCTTCCAGAAGTCAAAAACACTGTCTATTTCTCTTTCTTTAAGAATGAGGGCTAACTGACTTCTGGTTGGAGGCTAACTGGATAGAGGCTAATTGACTTGGGGCTAAACAACTAGTGAAGTCTTGTATTTGTATCAATAGTCTTTGAATAAAAGTGTATTAGGCAAAATATGTTTGCATGCTAATCCCAGGAATTGGCTTGATGGTCAATGATATTAGTTCATGTGGTCAACAATAAAAGTTCAAGTGTTTGAGTTCTGTGGCTTAAAAAATTGATATGCATTCATGTTGTTCTTGTTTTGTGCATCAGAAATAGTTACTTTAGTGGTTGCTATTTCTATCTAATATTTGCATGTGTTTATGTTTATTTGTTACATTATACAATCTGTAGGACAGCAAAGCAGATGTTATTTTGCGCTACAATCCTGATGAAGCAAGAAGCTTAAAAGTGTACGGCGAGCTCCCAGAGACTGGTAAGAGCTTGGTTTGACTATTTTTCTTTACATCCGGAACAGGAATTTCCTAACTTTAGTGTACACTCGTGTAAAGTGCAGCTTGAAGCTAGGTCCTGAAAATAATTTCAAAATAATACTAAGACTGGTTTTCAATTGAGTGTTGAAAATAATCAGGCAATTCCTTTGGTTTTGGTTTAACTACGGTTTGAGATTGGCTGAGTAGTCATTTCACTTGGTCAGTGGTTGAAAGGAAATCAACATCACTATGGTCATAATCTAACTGGAACTTCGCAATTCTTCAGGGTTTGATACAAAATTACAAAAGAAACTGAACATAATGTTGAACTCTGCTATTTCAAACTCTTTGAGGAAATGATAAATATTTTGAAATAGTGAGAGTTCGAAATAGCCCAGAGTAAAATATCAATGACTGAAGGGCAAATCCAAGGGAAATCGTTTTGAGTTTGAAATAACAGGGAATTTGAAATGAAGGATTTTAAATTATTAGGGTCCAACTCTATGAAGTAATTTTGAAGGTATATTGGCTTACTTCTAATTGCTTTGGTATTGAAAATAGCTTTCCAAGTGGCCAATTCTCTCTGTGTTCTCACAGAACGCAGGGAATCATGGTGGTTGTATTCATCAAAACAAATATCCAGTCCATCAGCAGCATTTTGAGTTATTGCAGTAGATATTATGCGAGTAAGTCCTGAAACAAGGTGTTTTCAGAGGGCAAGCCTTTGTCCACACTCTCAGCCATCTAGGACTGGACCTGTACTCATGTTTTATAAATACAACTACCATGATTCCCTGCAGGTGCATGTCATAGAGGAAATTGGGTTGTGGCAACCTTTGTGGTGATTTTAGTCACCATAGGAACAAAAACAGTCACAGCTTGACCCCTGCATAGCAGAACTGTTTGGAAAAATCCATAAATGGATGAATAAAAAGTATCCATAAATGTGTGGTTAATTTCTTAATATTTGACTTATAGAAGTGTAAATGTACTGCTGTTGGTGCCATGAAAAAGTTCAAAAAGCAAATGGTGGCCAAATTATCAGATAATGAGTGTGGGGCTTGCTGAACGTTAATTTTACGTTCTCATAGAGCAGATACTTCTGAAAAGAAAATTGTTTTGGTGCCAAGATGTTGTAAAAATTACCAAATGTTACCAATAAGTGATAAAATGAGCCATGCTGCACTTAAATGCCAGGGTTGACTCTGCTTGGCACCAAAGGAGTGTTGATCTTTGTGGCTTTGAAATTATCGTTACTTTGAAGAGAAAAAAATTTAATAATTTGTGTGGGTTGTGGAAGATGGCCCTTACATATATGTAACTAAGATGAAGTTGCCCTTAGAAAGTCAAGCAGAGAAAGGAATTAAAGTTAACTTTTTTTTTTTTTTGGTTTCCATTTTAAGTTAAAGTCAATGATAATGTGACTAGACCTGAAGGAGATGAAGAAGAGGTTATATTTGATGAAAACGAAGATGCTGATGATGATGAAGCTGATATTGATGCAGTAAGTCTTGTTCATGAATTTGAATTTTGTTATATTTCTCTGAGAATTTGTCTGGGATTAACAGTGCTGGAAATAACAGTTGGTCATTGGACTCACCAAATTTTAATTTTGCACTGTGATCCTGACCAAGCACCAAAGTGAATTAAAGCCTTTAGTAGCAAAGATCTTGTTACAAGTGAATATATGAAATATCATATATTCGTGATCAATCATGTCTTCATAAAGATCTTGTTTGCGGGCAATCTTTGCTTTTGGATGAAACATGTGTAAAATCACAAAATTAATAAAAATAATATGGTACTGTGGTTTGTTTTGCTTGAAAAGCCTATAAAGACTTGTATAAAACATAAAATGAACATCTCCTTTGACACCTGCCCCATTATGCATTACAAAGCATTGTTACTACTTCATGTATGGCTTTAGATTGAGTCATCAGACTATTTGTGTATGCAAATTACACAACAACTCTAATGAACTTGGTATCCAACCAAATGTATTATATGTATGGCCAAAATAGAGATTTGACAAGTCACATGCCCTGCTATGTGACAAAAATTATTTCCAGCAGTGGATCAAACCAGAGTGAGAGTAGACAAGTAATGATCCAAGATGTCTGTTGAGATGGCTTTTTTATCAGGCTGTTTCACGAACCGTCAGTTTCAGCCGTGGATTCAAAACAAGTGGTCACGCGATGACAAACATTTCTCAGCATGGATGGCCACAGTTTGCAGCAGAGCTGTTGTGAGTTCCTTAAAAGTACCAAGTTTGAGGCAAATCTTATCCATGTGATGGATTTTGCATCTGTCCAACTCTTCTCTGTAACACATCTTGGATTGTATCTTGATAGAAAGTGTGTGAAACTCAACAAACTTGCAAACAAACTGTGAAGCAACTTCCCCGATGGCAGTAGATTCACTCATCACATGGTCATGAAATTTGTCATCACATGATCACTTGTTTTAAATCCACGAACGAAACCAATGGTGTGTGCAACAGCCAGACAAGAAGCCATTTCAACAAATGTCTGGGATCAAAAGTATATTGATTTGCATATTGTGTGGTTCCAGATAATATCCATTGATTGTGGTTAGTTCTCCCTGCATCTATTTGTTGTGTAATAATTTTGGCATATAATCACGCGAGTGTCTAAATTTGAGGAATCCAATTATGACTTTTTGTAACTGGATACCAGTAATTGGATACCTATGCCATTCACATGTCAATTATGTGGGCTTTAATGGCATCCTTCTTACAATGTTATGTGAACTCCCTACAGGAACAGTTTTTAAGAAAACTTTATGGAGCATTGAAAACACTAGACAGTGGCTTTTTTGCTCCGAAGAAGTTCTTAAAACTGACTAAATATAAATCTTGAAATTTGTTAATGATGCGATTAATTAGTAATTGGATCTTGTGTCATACAATGCAGAGAGTAATAATTACTTTCTGCATTGTATGACTCAAGATCCAATATTATTGTGCTCGTAATTTCAAATCAACCAGAATGAGTTTTTGTTTCAAAGATCTCAAACAAATTTTTTCTTCCCTCTCCCAACAACTCTTCCGCTTTATTTACTTGCTTCCAGGCTAAACAAATATAATACTTAGTAGCAGTAATCAAAGAGTATAGGAATGCGTTTGACATCTTCACTTTAAGAGCTTGAATAATTTTTCACATACTGACGGAAGAGGCAACGTTTGTGTTGATTTGCACAGTCCAGAATCATAACTATGCAGAGTATATAACCACAAACTGTTTCGTATATACATGCTTTACGATGATGTCGTTTGTTTTCACTCCTGCTGTTGGGGCACCCAATTTTTGGAGGCCAATTTCGCGTCGAACATTGTCTGTCCCAAAAAATCTCACTCCAGTATGCATTAGGATTGCGTTTTCCTTTAGTCAAGTGCAATAATATATAATATAGCTTGAAATTTAAATGGATGTGGTAACCATGGCTGTGGACCTGTTGAGTGAATCATAATGGCATTACGCTGAAATAATATTAAAAGCTTAACTAACTGCTATTTATTTCTGTTGTGCAGATATGAAGAGGCAGTGGAGAGGCCCAGATTAAAGAAAACTATTTTGCCCTGATATCATTTCTCTTACAAAGAAGCACTGTTTTAAAAATCACATTCTATCTTGTGTTATAGATGTGCTATGTGATAAGCAACTCTTTGCATAAAAAGCATGTTTCTAAGAAAAAAGGTAGACCTTTCAACTTTTTGATGTCTTTGACAGAAGGACATTATGTTAAGTAAGTAACAAAAATTTCTGTATTATCTACAGCTGTAATGCATACTTGCATTAAGCAAGACTCACGGTAGCATTTAATGGAAGATGTCAGCAATTGCTTATGACTGTTTACCTAAATATTACAAGCATGAAAATATTAGTGTTAAGTCTTAAGCCAGATGGCAGGTCCAAATATATAAATGAAGACTCTCTATATTATATAAATTTTTGTAGGCTCTTCTGGCCTTATGATGTGTATTTTCTAAGTCTAATTGCATGTTCTGCTTATATGTGTTTGTTTTTTATTTTGAATTTGAAATCATTCACATAATATATCAAACAGGAAAGACTGTGTTTGGGTGCATTTCAAAAGACCGTGAAGAGAGATGGAAATATGACACACAGCAGACTTTGAAGTTTTTGGAGATGTGCTCAAACACTGTTGGTGTGTTTGATATATCTACTGACTCAGTCAAAACTAAAACTAAGGAGAGAACTTGAGGGAAAATCAAAGAGGTATCCAAGAACTGTCATGGTCATGACTTTCTTGTCAAAACTTGATGAATTTTTATTATATGGCTTGTGTTTGTGGCCGCCGATGTAATGCGCACTCTGATTGGCCAATTCTGGAGCATTATTCTCCTGTAAGGCCGATTACCGGTACAGGCCTGCAAAAACAAAGGTAAAAGCCATGTACCAAACAACTTATTAACTTCGAACATTTGCCGGTCTTGAAGGGAAAATCTCAAACTTCTGCCTTGCTGTATTGACCTTGCTATGGTCAATACGTATGGCAAGGTCTTCGTTTAAGATTTATCCTGAAGACCTCACTCTAGTAGTTATTAATGAGTTGGTTTACCACAGCCAAAATCTACAGTCGAAGCAAGATCAAAGTCCATAATTTTTGGTATTGTTATTTGCTTGCCAAAGTGTTAATGAAACAATACATGTAACTGTAGAGGGACCTTAAAACAAGGCTTTCCTTTGTCTAGTGAACACCTAAATTGAACAGTTGCATTGTACTTCAGGAGTGAAACATTACTGCATGCCAAACTTCAAACGATTTGATGAGAAATCATGGAACTTTTGACTCCCATTTAGAGCATGTCTTTTTGTGACATGCTCATTCTTGGATGTAACTGACAAATTAGAAATACTCAATTTGTACCACTTATCATTAAAAGGCTATATTCTTTCTAAGTCTTGTAGTTTCATCAACTGTGACATAGTTTACCTGCTTTAAAAATAGATATCAATAAAAGAAAATGTTTGCACAATCAGGTCAGCTTGAAAGTTGTGATATGTCCCCAGCGAGGAATGCATGGTTATTGTGGTTCTGTTGCTGCAGTTATAAGTGTCTTGCTTCCTGTGTACTTTACAAATGTGATGTTTGCTTATACATTGCTCTTTGTTGATTGATTGCCCCATAAGATTTTTAGGGAAAATTAAATTAAGACTGCCAGACTCGTAGACTGAGAAATTTACTGATGAAAAATTAATTGATAGGATCGACTATAGCAAGCAGTTTTCAATCAAGCATTGAAACATTGAAACCAATCATAGAGTATAAAATAATAAAAACATAGGTCCTTTTTACACGACCCCAGGTTGCGTTTTACCCCAGGTCAAGTCACCACAGCGGGAAACCCTTTTGCAGTCAAATGTTTAAAAGCGTTTACTTGAAAACAGTAGCCAAGCCGGGTCAGCCCCCCCTTGCTTGGTAACCCTTGTCGAGACTCTGGTTGACCCAGCGAGAAGGGTTGAAATTTCTTCAATTCTTACATGTAAACTGTGGGCCAAAAGTTAACCCGGGTTGGTACTTTCAATGTTGTTTCATTTTGTTTTGGTTGGCACATGTACATCATTTTTTTTTTTTTTTTTTTTTTCCTCCAGTGTTTCCTAAAATTAATGGTAACTATTTTCTTCGCGTTCCTATCGCGTTGTAGAAATACAAGAAGAAGTTTGTAGCAGGAATTTCTGTAATAGATTTTTCCGTAACCAGAAGTGAAGGTTTGCATGAGAAATGCTGCGGCAACACGAGCAGCAAGCAATACATATTTATCTCTGTCATTAAACCAGGAAGCGCTCGATAGCGCTCAAATATTCACAAAATGTTGCGGAAGGTTAAACCGGCTGACCGGAATGTGGAACTTTTGCCGCTGAGGAGATCTAATTTTTTTTTTAGTACTCCAGTTTTTTTTATGGTGGTGTTTTATATCTAAAATAGAAATAGTGGTTCCTGTAAATTCAAACTTCTTAATCTACATGAGTTCAAACTAAGTTCGCGAAAAGAACGTGATTTAAAAAAAGGCTGCATCGTAAACAACAATGCTACGCAGCAGTTTTATACTGCAATTCATATTCACGCCATTCTGTTGTAACTATCCTTCTGATTCCCGCAGTATGGAATGGCGTCGAATGGCGTCGAATGGCGAGCGACCAACTAAATCATACTTTCAAAGATAAACATTTTATATTAAAATCTCCCAATACGAGAGTATGGAAGTCAGGTATCAATCAGGTTTTAAATGAAAATTCTTCTTTTCAATTCACATTATTAAACAGTCAGCGTCACATCTTCTGTCTATTGTTTTAAAACTGTCTTACATTTGATAAGAATCATCTCTTTTTAGAACAGCTTTGAATAAAGCATAAATCTTTAGCAATAATCATTATGTTTATTATTATGTAAAAAAAAAAAGAGTTCGTGTATTTTAAGCAAGAGTTTAAGCAGGGCTAAATAAATTTCAAGTACATACGCATCGACCAAGTATTTTTTTTTTTTTTAAAAGCAGCGCTGGTTTTAATTTGCTACCTGGAGTTTGTCTATTTTTAAAAAAATAATTCTAGCTTTTATTTTTTTTTCATTTTTTTTTTCTTTTTCATCTTGCTGCCGGGCGGGCATCCCCGTGCATGTGTATATGTTTAAAATGATAAGACTGTCTGTAGTCTTAAAAACCCAAGATAAGTATATACACAAGGAATCGAGTTTAATTATCAAAATATCTTCTCCTTCCCATTTTAAAGATGGCTTTTAATATGTGTGTTCAGCGTGAGAAAGGTAAAGACATTTACTTCTCACAAGCTGTCAAAAATAGCGACACTGAGAACAGCTCATCACTATCTTTCTATCCAAGCTTGTGTGGTAAAGATTCGACAAAGTTTGATTCCATTGAAGACCGAATTTTTCACCTGATTCATTAACAGGTTATCAATTGGACGTATGATTTTCTAGGACAGAATGGCTATAGTCACCTTGTTTCTGTCTGTCTGTCTCTCTGGAATTTGTAGCCAGGCGTATTTTAGCTATTCAACAGAACCAGGCGGTTTCCCGGGGCAAACGCTATAGCGTTACATATTCAAGGTAACATTACAAGACGAAGTATTCATCAAATATTCAATAATCAGTGCTTGGCAGTTTTGTTTTTTTCTCACATGTCAAGTATTCACAAATAATCATCTAGCTATCAGGAATTCACTCTTCCTTATCTCTTTATTAAACCTAGCAAACCTCGCGACTGTGTAACATCATCAACAACATTCAGACATGATCGAATCATCTGGCATTGCCACAGCAACGGTACACTTCATACTTGTCATCGTGGACATCGTTGGAAATTGCCTCGTTTGTGCGATCATAAAGAAACATCGAGACATGAGGTATGTTGAAACTAAAATAACTAAAATATCACAGCCAGCTTGAAACACTACTGAAGGTTTTTACAACGACTTTACATAGCAGTGAAATAGAAATTGCATGGTTAGTTTTGGTTTACATAGCTTGATGTGAACATGGAAGAAAGATTTTAAAGTTCTTCACTTACATGTTCACGGATTTAAATTTTCACCTGGTATAAGAAGTACAACTCAGGTACCTCAGCCCCTTTCAACTAAACAATGCATTCGAAAAGGTTAAAATTAGTTATTTCCTTAATACGAAAGTCCATTGGAGGATTTACATTCCTAGCAATATTTCTAATGTCCACGGTTCTTGTACATTCGCACAAGTAGATAATATTACCATGTTTCTGTCCAGGTCAGCCATTCTTCTGAAGTTATGCAAGAAAAAATGAAGAGTGAGAGAGTAAGTCATTCAAAAGGCCTTATTCTTAAGGTAATCCCGATCAGAATATTTCCAAACATTGCTTGCGTTGATGCAGCTTGCGTCGATGTTTTTGTACAGGATAAAAACGAGTGAAAAGCAGCTATTTGGGCTGTGTACCTGAGCAAAATCTGCGTCACAGTAGTGCCTTTTCTAGACCCTTTTAGGACTTCCGAAACCAGGAGTGATCTAAAAATACCTTGAGATGGATTACCTCGAGGATATTTGAAGGACTGACTGTTTTACTCTTCATCTTCTCCTAGTTGAAAAATGTATGTATTTATGATATTCTACAGGACTCCCATCAACTATCTACTAGTGAATCTGTCTGTAGCGGATATATTGTACGCGACCTTGATTACCCCAAACACTTTCCACGGGCTCACTTCTACCCAGCCAGATGGGATGGGCGGTACGGTTTTATGCAAATTGATGACGGGTGGAGGCTTGGCATGGATTGCTGGAATTTCCTCGGTAGTCACGATGATTGCAATTGCTGCTGAACGATATTTTGTGGTAAACTGTCCTGCTGGTAACATTGGCAAACTTACCAAGCGTAAACTAAAGGTGCATCACTGACAAAGTGTGATTATTAGTAACTGTAGAGGGATGAAGAAATGTGTTTTTAGTATGTATACGCAGATAATTAATAGTATGAAAAAGAAAAGTGAATCGGTATATTAAGCATAACACGTTCCTATTTGAGGTGATCATTCCCAGTTCGTGAATCTTTTCATTGATAGTCCATATACCTCTGTTCCTGGCCTTAAACGTGAAGGACAATTCCTGCGTGTGGATGGTTGAAGAATGGATGCCAAAAGCCTATTCTTTGTACTGGTCAGCCATTGTAGTTGTAGCCATGGCAATAATGGCTGGGTTGTATTCCAGAATCGTGNGTCACTGACAAAGTGTGATTATTAGTAACTATAGAGTGATGATTTAAGAAGAAACGTGTTTTTAGTATGTGTACGCAGATGATTAATAGTATGAAAAAGAAATTGAATCGGTATATTAAGCATAACACGTTCCTATTTCAGATGATCATTCCCGGTTCGTGGATCTTTTCGTTGATAGTCCATATACCTCTGTTCCTGGCCTTAAAAGTAAAGGACAATTCCTGCGTGTGGATGGTTGAAGAATGGATGCCAAAAGCCTATTCTTTGTACTGGTCAGCCATTGTAGTTGTAGCCATGGTAATAATGGCTGGGTTGTATTCCAGAATCGTGTACACCCTGTGGATAAAACGTGATCCTGAGAATCAGCTCACTTTCCAACAGAGGGTAAGTATTAAACAAAGAAGTTCAATACGTGAACATTTCTCTTTTAGTCAATCTTAGGATGTTGGCGGGAAAGAAAATTCCAAGTATTTCTTCCTTTCTAGTCTGTGGATATCAAGAGGTAAGTGTTAATGAAAGTTCTCCCCGTACGCCAGTTTTGATCTTCTTAATCCTCTATGGGTGCCCTAATAGAACTTTTCCGTGTACCAAGGCCTCGCCAGTTAAGAGAGGGGGGGTAGCTATTACGACAAGAACCGTAACGATCGTGACAGAGTGTGGTTGGTTACATTATGTTCAAGTGTCACACTCTTGTTGCGAGAGTGAGATCGTGACAGTGTGACTGTGACATCATGTCTGACATTCGCATTGTGACGAACAACTTAAGGCCCATCGATTTGCAAAATTCAACTCATTATAATAGGCAAAGTTTGGTGTAGAGATTGTAATTCTCACCTGTCACTGACGTTGTCAATAACTTAATTGTCCCTGCGACATTTTGATTGAAACATTGCCATTAAGTGGCAGTCCCGCTAAAAGCAGTCCACACGACTTCGGGACCAAAAATAATTTTCCTTCATTTTTGTCAGTGAAAAGGGTTTGACACGTATCTATAAAAAAGCAGTTTATTATTTTCCAATTCCATATTTTTGCTTTGCTACGAGCCAAAATTGAATTTTGGCCGAACTGAGGTTTCCGACCGGGATCAGAAAGGTAAAATTCACCGATTTTGTGAAGCGTGCTACGTCGCCTAAAATGCAGCTCACGGAATTTCGTTTTCATACGAATGTTAAGGTACATTCATTACTTTGACTTACGAAACATGGAAACTTTGCGAAAAATTCTAAGCTTACCAGCGAGGCTGGAAGACACCCTACTCCGAGGCCTTTGATCCCCTACTAAAATTTAGCCAAATTTGACGGGGAAAATCTCAAAAGTTGGGTCTAAATGAAGCCTAAAAAGCGCATCACAGTAAATTTCATGCCTTAATAAACCGTTCTATAAGTTCAAACCACAGGCGGTCCAAGCTGTCAATGCGAGGACTTATTATTTTTTTTAAATCTCTATGCGAACGTTCAGCGCGCGAAACGTGACACAATTACCGCCGACATCTACTATTACATAACGACCGAGTTTGGTTACGCAAAACGTGACCTTCGCCTTGCAGCATATGGTGGTGTTATGTTGCAACGGTTTGAATTTACAAAGGTTTGTATGGGGAAAAACGGTAATCGACATTATAACTGAGATTTTGATCTTTTTGCAATAAAAATGACTTACCTTAATGGCTTGCTGTCTTTTCTATTGTTATCTCGCTTCTCAGCTCGATCCGAAGCCTTTTAAAACCAAAAAGCGATAACTCGCTTTAAAAGCGAACTAAATTAAGTAGTTTGACACAGTTTCTAATCTGAGTAATGACATAAGGATTAGAATGTTCTGGAATGTTCTTATACAAATTGGTCACGGCTGAATGACTTCCGGTTCTAGATTGTTCTAGAAATTGACTTAGACAATTTTTTGTAACATGTACATGTTCTCACATTCCTGTGATATAAATCCATGCCATTCGTTATTTTTTGATCGGGATCATTTCGGTCCAATATGGGGATCATTTCCGGTCCGGGATCATTTGCGGTTCAATTTGGGAATCATTTGCGGTCCTGGGATCATTTGCGGACCCGTACAGAACTATGTTTTGCGATGAATGATGGGCTTTACATCTGTTTTAAGGTTACAGTATACTTTCAGGGGTGTCTCGCGCGCAAGCGATGTAGCGCGTGCAGTTTAAGCTGTAGATACCTAAACCCCTATATCAAATTAAAGCTTCTGGAGCTGGCTATCAAACTATACCAAGAATTTTGAAAGAAAATGAATTGTCGAATTTTCACGACCACTAAATGCGAGCGCCCGAATCACCTTTCGAAAGCTACAAGTCAAAGCGAATTTCCTTTACCAGCTCGCGGAAGGGTAACCGTTATCAAGTCTTCGGATCCAGGTTGCTTTGAGAGCGTTGTTTATTGCAAAATCACATGTACATCATGACCTCCCACCATTCCATTATACTTTCTAGGTGTTTTGTTTGTCATCTTTCTAGCCCACGTTTTCAGTTTTTGAGCGGTAGAAAGGCTGGCCTAAGTCAGGCTCAAAGCAAACCACATGCTATTGCAGACTTACAACCCGGGTTGGTGTAAAGTGTATATATTTAGCACTCTCTGCGGTGATTCAACATGTGGTAAAAAGCAACTGGCAGTCATGTATAGAGGGCCTTAATGTGTATGCATGTGTTGGAATGCATTTTGATTGGCTAAATGTGTAGCTTGTGACCATGAGGCAAGATGAACCAAAGCCTGTGCTGTGATTGGCTCTCCCTGAGAGCAAGATGGGGCTGTCTTTCCTGCACTATCGTGCAAGAAAGTGATGTCCTGTATACCATATTATAAATCATTAAATGTCCAAGCTTGTTCTATCAAGATGACTGGACATTGGTAATGGTTGTTTTTCTGTGTTTAAAGCCCTGAACAGTGTACTGGGCCAAGTTGTTCGAAAGTTGGTTAGCACTAACCCAGGATTAAAAGTTAACCAAAGTATTAATTTTTCTTGTGTAACAATGTTTTTCACTGCTTATATTTTGAGTAGTTTGAAATTATTCAAATTCATAATTGAAGGGCAAACGATACAAACAGAAAACCACACTGAAAAGTTGCAAAACTCAAATCAGAATTCTCACTAATTCTGGGTTAGCTTAATCAGGCTTTTAACACTGCCCGGCCCTGGTCCATAAACAAGCAAAACATCGCACTAGGCCAATAACCCATATACCGACTATATTAAACAAGAAGTCTCAACAAGTCTAAACAAAATTACTGAAAACTTTATTCATGTACAGCAACAAACTTTTCTACAAACTCTTTGGTCAATTTGAGATAAAAGTCAGCTGCATTGGGACTATAATCTTTGTAGAAAAGTCCACTGGACCATTTTGGAATAGCTTTTTCGATTTGTGTTCCTTCATGCCACTCATTAAATGACGTAATTGATATAATATGAGGACTGGTTTGCAACGCTGCTTTCCAGCTATTTCTGTAGTAATTGCCACCGTTACGTAACCGCATGTTAGCACTATTCCATGGCCGGACTGCAGTGTCAATGTACCCTGGTCCCACACTAGGTATAAATAAGGTGTTGGTTTGCTCTGCTATGGATTTGAGCTGAGGCCAAAATCTCCATGTAGAGCCATACGTAAATTTATCAGTGGCAAAGTAAGTGTAGAAACCGTCAAACCCCCCAGTGTCTATGTACTTTCGGTGGTTCATTTCCACCATCAGTGCAATAAATATGCAGTCGTATGGTGTGTTACGCACTGAGTGTGACCCATCAGTTGTCATCAATTGTGCCCAAGCTTCTGCTGGGGTATGGTAAGAATCATAAATATACAACATGGGTAAGGATCTCCCATCAGCTGTCTGGTATTTGTAGAAAGCCTCGTGTTTGCCGTAGGTGTCTATAATGTATTTCACGTCACTGTGAACAGTTTTATCATCTCTTCCCTTGTAAGGCTCAATATGCAAAGTGACTTTCAGTCTGTACTTGGCTGCAGCATTCAAGAGGCTGGGAACGAGACCATCACTGGGAATCCCCTCACTGTCTGCCCTTCCGGGGGGGTACCATGACAGAGCAATCACACCCACCCCTGCAGTTCTCATTTGCCTCATGTGTTCATTGATAACCTTGGGGTCTTTGGAGCTGTAAGGACCTAGCGCAGGGTAAAAATTAGACCCAATGTCATCTGGAGGAGAGTGATAGCCTTTCTGATATTGTTTAGCAATATCGGGGTTCCAGTGGGGAAGGTACTGGTGATTCCAGTGCACGTATCTTCCATCGTGCTCTGGGTTTCCATACCACGCGTAGTAAAAAATGTGGATGTTGTAGTTTGGTTCTGGTAGTGAAGAATCCGGCTCTTCGTTCAAAGAATTCGCCGTGAGTTGCTTTGTTTCTGACTCGTTAGGAAACATTTGATTGTCTTGCTTGATTTCCTTGTCTTCAACTTTGTGTGCATCGTGATCGGCTTCTGAAGGTACTGCACTGACACGTCCTGTTACAGTTTCTTCAAGTTCAGGTTTATTGAATAACTCGTGTTTGGGCTTGCTTTCTTCCTCGGCCTCGGAGGACGAGAGGATCTTCAAGGCTGTAAAACAACCCAGCACGAAGAGACACAAGACTAACAAATACAGAATTCGGCGCTTTCTAAGGAAGCGAAGCGGAGACATCCTTTCCCAGTTTCATGAGCAAATCAAGGCAGATTACAAGAAACTTTGTCGGCTATGAGATGGCCATGTTATGAGCACGAGGGTTTTTTCCACCATTGTTTTCATCTGTTGATCAACGTCCACGCGACTGTCCGGGCAGCCCTTCTTTGTCAGCGGCCTCTACTTGACGCGCAGGAGCAGAGATCTCGACTTCGCGTTTTAAAATGGCGGATTTTCCTTGATCTCTACTGTGCAATTTGGTTTTCCGGTTAATTGATGACCCCCTGTTCTTTTACACACATGCACTGGTTGGATATCTAATGTAGTCATCATGGACTTAAAACCAAAAGTAACCTGTGAGTTTCCTTTGGGTTATTATTTTTCAACTCGTATGTACTGGCCCTGTACTTGATAGATACCCAACCTGAGCAGTAAGATTGTAAATAGCATCTATGCCAACTCTCCCGAATACAGACGGAATCTCCCGCTCTCCCGTACAAGTCACCGATCCCCCGGACAAAGCAAATGAAAGCGCATAAAATACATTTTTCTGACATATTTCGGCCGATTTTTTTGTATTTTTGGGGAAAGTACGAAGATCTTTACTCTGGACAGCATTTTTTAGAGTCAAAAAAGGTAACATCGGCGATCTCCCGGATTTTGATTTTTTTAGGTTGGCATCTCTGAAAAAGATCGAATGAAACAAATTATGTTAAGCTTAAGGATCTTTCCAGGCTGAGGAATCTTACATGGAAACCTACTTTGCCCCAGGTTGATCTCAAATACAAATTACAGACTTGCGAATTTCGGAGCTGCTTCAAGTTGTAACAAACGCTTGACGTTTGTCCTTCCCAGGGGCAAACCCAACATATTCCTCTGAATGTTCAGCTTGGGGCCAAAGTCCATGGTGGGGAATGGGGGGCAGGGGGAGGGGGAAACAGTTGGTGAAGAGTGCATATCAATTATCAGCTTGTTTGAATGTTCATCCCATTTTACCAAAGAGATCATTCATATGCAAGGCTTTTTTTCCTTTTAGGTTATGGCGATAAAGAAGTTTATACCAAACTTAACCCAGAACTTGAGAAGAGACTGCCCAGGGAATACACAGAATGGAGAAGGTATAGTTAGAGGTTTCACTAAGGACCAGGCACCGGGCAAATTGACCAGCCAGGAGGATGGTTTTGCCCACCTGGTTTGACCATGTAGAGCACAGGTGGCCCAAGCTCATGATGCGAGGAGTTGTTATTGTTTTCTATCTTTATGTGAACATTCAACGAAACGTGACATATACAGGTGACATATACTATTACATAACGACCAAGTTTGAATATGCGAAACCTGACTCTTGCCTTGCAGCATATGGAGGTGTAGTTTTACAACAGTTTGAATTTATAAAGGTTTGTTTGGGGAAAGACAGTAATGAACGTTATAGCTGAAATTGTGATATTTTGACAATAAAATTAACTTGCCTCAATGCCTTGTTGTCTTTTCTATTGTCCTCTCACTGCTCAGCTTGATCCGAAGCCTTTTAAGTGAGTTATGGATTTTTGGTTTTCCACTCCTAAGTAGAAGTAAAGACTAGACTCTCAATTCTGGATTACATTTACTCGCTGCTCGAAGCGAAAAAAACCCATTGAAAGCATGTCAGCCACCCCAATTCCTACACAGAATAATAGGAGAGAGTTAAGTGCTCCCTTTCAGCTAAATTCCAAGCCAAATTCATCTCCATAGCGCAGGCTACAAAGCTCTGAATTGAAGCCAGCTAGGCATCCAGACTCAGTAATTATGCTGCCAGGACCTGCCATAGACACATTCGTAGCCTGAGCTGAATGCCAGGTGAACAAATTGACCCTGACCAGGGAGGGGAAGCACACAGTTCTTAACGCACAATGTAATTTGCTTCACAGTTTAAACAAGATCTGTCAGCACCCACATACAGAAAACTTATTTCAAATAATGTTATAACTTCTTTGCTACCAAAAAGTGGACAGTTAAAAGACCACATTTGATAAAAGAAAGAAGTGTGTTGAGAACGTGGTGATCGGTTAACCAATTGAAAGATGGGAAATGTGTTACCTAATGCAGATTAGTATGACAACCAATCAGCGTAGGCCTGTTCCAAACATTCCAGGAACACCACCCAGAGTGAGGAACATGATTAACAACGGTGCTACACAGACGTCTTTGTCCCTGATTTGGTTTGAGGGGAGGGGGCGGCTGTACACAGGCTACATTTCACTGAAAATAATAACTCCTCGCGTCGTGAGCTTGGGCTGCCTGTGCGTAGAGGAAAGTTCTTCTTGTAAAGAAGTTCAGTTCAAAAAGTTTTGTCAGCCTGTGAAAACCAGTTGTGCTCCTACTGAAAATGTTAATGAAACCCTGATAGGAAAAGTACATGGTTATTGTTGTCGTTATCATTGTCATTGTTATCGCTATTTGCATCTGTCAAGATGATGGTAGAAAAATAGCATAAAATGAAATATGTGATTCAAAGTATAGCAGTAAGATATACTATACACCTCATTCCAAAATGGTAGCCAGTTTATTATTCTTTTGTTTACATGGTAATTAGCCCTCTTTGCCTCGTCAACATGTACAAAGGGGGCTAATTAACATGCAAACAAAACAATAATAAATTGGCCGCCATTTTGGAATAAGGTGTATGAACATTGTTTCCGCATAGATGTTAATGAGCTTTGTTGCAGACTGCTTTATATTGAGAAGCTTCATTTTGCTCACCAATATCTAAAGCATTCATTAGGGACTCTTTTGCTATACACATGTATCTGAGCCACCAAATTTTCAGAATTGTCATGAACAGAAAGGCTGACAAGCAAGGAATAATAATGTTTCTTTGTTTTGTAGTTACACAGAATTGTTCTTTCCACTGTAGATCTTATGGAAGACCCCCTAAGACCGTAAAGTTAAAAGCACACTTTGTACGATTATCAGAGGGGATGCTTGTGGATGTCAGCAGTAAGGAAACATACACAACTGCGTCAAGTCTTCACAAACAACCATTCTTTCATATTTACTGGACTGACTGCCAGGTAGTAAAAACGTATTAGCCACAAGTATCATAATAAGTAACATTTTCAAGTGCTTGTTATCCAAATGTATAAAGACTGTATGTGACCGGTGCTAAGTTACACATAATATTGCACATCCTAAGGGAAACATTTCTGGGAGAGACTGAAAGAGGGGACACTCAAGGGAATTAATATAATATGAGTGGAATAATAAAATAGCATCATCCACACCCAAAAGAAAAAACCCACCTAACTATCTACATGTAAATTATACACTAAAAATTGCCAGAGAATGCTGATACAACTACATGTACTGGTAAGCTTTTTTACTCTTTGTTATTAACCAGATTCCATTAAATTTTAAGGTTAACCAAATTAAAAAAATACAACACAGTAACCATGATTTTTTTTTCACCCCTTTCCCACATGAATTATTACAAGAGGTGATTTTAATATTTTACTTACCTGACAACTTTCCCCAAAGTACACACTGAAAGTTGCAGTTTAAAAAAATGAACAAACAAACATGCCCCACAAAATTTCTTACCTCCCTTTTGCAAACACTAAAATTGTACCTCCTTGTCACTGTTATCGTTATTTTATAGTAGGGCAAAAATAACTTGGGGAGTTGGGATGGTCCAGTGGTGGGATCTCTTGGTTCCAACCAATGTGGCGGGGTCCGATTCCGGCATGGTACCATATGTGGGTTGAGTTTGTTGTTGGTTCTCACCTTGCTGCGAGGGTTTTTCTCCGGGTTCTCCGGTTTTCCTCCCGTCACAAAAACCAACATCTCCAAATTCCAATTCGACCAGGATAGAGGACCCAAATGAAAATCAGTTAAGGCTGAGGTGGATTCCTCTCTAAATATTGTAATTTATTTTTAAGAATTAAGAATTTGATGTATCGGAGAGACTGTCTTAAAATTAAGGCTTTGCGGACGGGCAATCCAAATGATTGGAATAATTTTAAGAAGTTGCGTAATGAAGTGAACAATGAGATCAAGAATGTAAAAAAGTCCTATTATTATGAAACTTTTGAAGCTTACAATGGAAA